TTTTTTTTAATTAAAGCTTTTTTACTAGCTTGTAAATCTTTTTTATTTTTTTTAATTGCTTAGCAATTTTTTCTTCTAATTATTCGTTCTTTGATATAACCGTTCATTAAAAAAATTAGAACAAAATAAAATTTAATAATCAAGAAAGATTTTAAGTATTATTTTAATTATAAATATACTCTTTAAAATGATTATTTTTTTATTTACAAAATATTGAATGACTAAAGTCCTTTAAACACTTGACAGATTTAATTTTGAGGTTTAGAAGTTAGTATTATAAATATACGGTCATTATTTGGATTGTGATAAAATCAGAGGGTCTAATAAATGACCGAATGAATTTTTTACTGGGTAAAGGGCTTCTGACGGATCCAATAGTTGACCGGTCTTAAAATAATATTGAAACTTATAATTTAACTTTATTTTTTCAAAAAAGTTGGAATCTGATCTTTAATTGACATAATAAAATTAAAATATTTTATATTATGCCGATATATATCACTAAATTAATGATGAAATGCACTCACTCTCCAATTGTACGCTAGTTATTTTTGACCGCTTTATGGCTGGTTGCGTTGTAAACAAACTCAGAATATTTTTTTAAAGCTATAATCACTGCGCAATTAATTGCGTAATTTTTTATTATGATGATTAAATGCCATATTATTTTATTTTAATCCTTTAAGAAAAAAAAACCCTTGTAAAATATTAATTAATTAACTTTTTTATACATCGGTCAACTAATTGGTGACCGGTCAATAACTGGTGCATTTACCCTATATCAATTTTTTTGAAAATTGTGATATTCAACTTTTTTTTTTAAATTGTTCATTTTTTTATGTGCTCTTCAGAAAAAAATATATCGAAAACATCAAAAAAAGATAAAATAGAAATGTTTATCCAAAAACATGAGCTAAAATTTTTTCCAACTTTTGAAGGCAAAAAAGCGATCGAAATCTTGATTTTTTTCTTTCTCGACATTTTTTATCATAAATGCGCCGTAAAAACAGACAGAATCAAAAAAAAATTTGAAAATGTTAATTTTTCACCTAGATTTAGCCAAAAATAGGGTGGACCTCACTTGTAAATAATTGCCCAAAATATTCATTATTTCTTTAAAATTAAAAAAAAAAAAATCATTTATTAACACCGTAAAAATTTCCATACTAAAATAAAAATTTCTCAAAAAAAAAAAATTCCTAAAATTAAATAAACAAATAATTTTAAACATTTCAAAAAATCAATATAAATAATAATTTCCAAATTCTTCCAGGTGGAGTTCCAATTTCTACCACATTACTAAAAACCTGCATCGACCAATCAAAGAAGCGCGCTGAAAAAATCTCCAGCCTCATAAGAACAGCGATCAAGGATTTATAAACCAATAAAAAAGTAAAAAAATATATACAAAACCTTAAAAAACTTTATTGCTGCCGTAAAAACAATCCTGAGACACACAAAAACACACAAAAAAAAAAAATCCAACCTCAATACAAACAAGTTTTCTTCATGATCCTGAGAAATTCCTCCGGTGAAATAGCACCGTCGCCATCTCGGTCGGCCTCGTCGATCATCTCCTGGATCTCCTCATCAGTGAGGGTCTCCCCTAGCTCCTTGGCGACGCGCTTCAGGTTCTTGAAAGTAATCTTCCCTGTTCCGTCGTCGTCAAAGAGTTTGAACGCGCGCATCACCTCTTGCGTGTCGTCCTTCTCGGACATCTTCTCGGCGACTAGATGCAGAAAGTCTTCATAGGAGATGACGCCCTCGTTATCAGGGTCGACCTTAGAGGTAAGTTTCTTGAGCTCCTCGCGCTTGTACTCGAAACCGAGCGCCCGAAGAACTACTTTTAGTTCCTTGCTCGCGATTATCCCGGTTCCGTCTTTGTCGAAGAGGTCGAAGGCTTCTTTAATGTCTGCTCGCTGCTGCTCCGACAGGTCTAGCTTGGATTTATTTTTTGATGCCTGGAAAAAAAATTTTAATCTATATAATTAAGAGAATAGTTAATTAAGGGAAAAATATATATAATTAAGGGAAAAATAATCACATCATCATAGCAGAACTCGAGTCAGAAATGGCAAAAATGGACATTTTAAAAAAAAAAAAAGGGGTCCTAAAAGGCACCACAATCACGATTAAAGGAGACCATACAGCAGTGAAAAGAGCAGCCTAAGTAGAAATAAGGGAGATAGGCAGAGAAGCCAAAATGACTGGCAAAAACACAAAAATTGGGTTTAATTGGATCATAATTGATAACAGTAAATATTTCTGGAACTATTCTCTAAATAAACTATGTGTGATTAATTAAAAATAGCCCCAACGAAACTCAAATATCGAATTAGAGAAAGACAACAGATCAAAACAAAATAATATATTGAAGGTAACATCAGCCACAACAAATCCCCTGATTACAGTAAGACCTCCTCAAATAGAAAATACATTAACATTTGAAAATTAAAAAAAATTATTAGTCGAAATTTTTATAAGCACTTTTTTTTAAATGTAAATAATTTTTGTTATAAGAATTCAAAAATTTAACAGCTGTCAGCTATCTTCAGTATTATCAAAATTTTCTTGATGACATTAAAATTAACAGTCACTAGACAATTTTTTAAATTTTATTTATCAAACAAATTTTTTCCAAAAAATTATTTTTAAAAAATAGTAGGGTAAATGCACCAGTTGTTGACCAGTCACCAATTAGTTGACCGATGTATAAAAAAGTTAATTAATTAATATTTTACAAGGGTTTTTTTTTCTTAAAGTATTAAAATAAAAAAATATGGCATTTAATCATCATAATATAAAACTACGCAATTAATTGCGCAGTGATTGTAGCTTTAAAAAAATATTCTGAGTTTGTTTACAACGCAACCAGCCTCATAAAGCGGTCAAAAATAACTAGCGTACAATTGGAGAGTGAGTGCATTTCATCATTAATTTAGTGATATTTATCGGCATAATATAAAATATTTTAGTTTTATTATGTTAATTAAAGATTAGATTCCAACTTTTTTGAAAAAATAAAGTTATATTATAAGTTTTAATATTATTTTAAAACCGGTCAACTATTGGATCCGTCAGAAGCCCTTTACCCAGTAAAAAATTCATTCGGTCATTTATTAGACCCTCTGATTTTATCACAATCCAATTAATGACCGTATATTTATAATACTAACTTCTTCACCTCAAAATTAAATCTGTCAAGTTTTTAAAGTACTTTAGTCATTCAATATTTTGTAAATATAAAAATAATCATTACAAAATGTATATTTATAATTAAAATAATACATAAAATCTTTTTTGATTATTAAATTTTATTTTGTTGTAATTTTTTTAGTGAACGGTTGTATCAAAGAACGAATTATTAGAAGAAAAAATTGCTAAACAATTAAAAAAATAAAAAAGAGTTACAAGCTAGTAAAAAAGCTTTAATTGAAAAAAAGAAGGAGAAGAATAAAAAAATTTCAAGTTAATCAGAAGAATTATCGTCATTAAAATGAATTTTTGATTATTTGTGACCTAAAGAAATGTGACTTTATGTTAATTATTGCTATTATTTATATTATTTTATAAAAAAGTACAATTTAAAATTATATTGTATGTTTAGTTTTGTTGAAGATGTCGTTAATACTTCAAAAGTACTGCATAAATTTAATTACATACATGTAGTTTACAAAATTACTTATAATTATTTGAGCGGTCAATTAATTGGAGAACGGTCGGTCATTTATTGGGTTTCTTCGGTCAGTAATTGGTGATTTAGTATTTCAACATTCAAAGTGCATTTACCCTAATTTATTAAAAAAAATTTTAAAATTGTCAAATATCTTCTCAATTAATTTTAATATTTTCGTATTTTTAATCCGTAAATGTCAGCAGTCACATAGTGACTGCAGATTGCTAGTAAAGGTAAATTTTTTAATTTTCTAAATTAATTAATAAATAATTAAAATTACTCTTACCATTTAGAAAATTAAAGATTGTTTATATACTTTATATATTTGGAAGGTTTTGTTGATTTGACAGGATGTTGATAGTTTGTTGTTTTAAATTAATTGTTTAATTGTTTGATCAATATAACACTCAACTTTTTTTGTTTATATAACTAGTCGCGGTGATTAAGATTTAAAAAATTAAATATAATCTTGATAAATAATATCACATTTTCATCATCTTGATACCTATGTAAACTTAAACATCATTAAAATATTTCATAAACATATAAAAATAAAAATAAAAAACAAAGAAAATTTTTTTATCAGGCAAGTTTTCAAAAAGTTTATTAATTACGACCACAGATGGCGGTAAGGTAAAATTCTAGCCTTTTATTTTTATTATTATTATTTTCCGTTTTCTCCCCTCTCCAACATCAACTTATAAACACACACTGATATTCACTTATTCTAGGTATATACTAAAGTACCAAGTAAAATTACGTCAGCTGTTATCGCTAGCAGTATCAAATTATTGTCAAACGCTGGGAATACCGGCGTAATATCCGCTTGAAATTTGCAGAATAAAATTGTTAAATATAAAATTATAATTAACCATGACAAGTAAGTGATAACAATTAAACTTTTGATTTTTATAAAAATTTTATATTAAATAAATAGAAATTGAATACTATTAATGTTTCTAAAATAAAAATAATAATAATAATAATAACTGGAACAAAATATTAATTTTGAGTGAGTATTTTGTTATTATTATTATTAACGGCTTAATATTTTTAATAATAATAATAATAATAATAATAATAATATCAGCAACAAAAAAAAATAACAATAATAATAATAATAATAACAAGAGTTATGATAGCAAGATAATAATTTTAGTAGTCCCGACGAAAAATAATTATATATAATATATATATTATATATAATTAGTTATATATGATTATATATGTGATGAGGGTATTCAAATGAAAGGTCTCGATGAGTGTAACATCAGGATGAGC